TATCGAACGAGCGTGAATGACTTTCATCGATTTCAACTCACAAGGAAACCATATGTTTTCAATTGCTGTTCAACTGGCCGAGCTTCTCGATGTTATTTAACATGTCTGATAGATAGTGAATCAGTCTACCGCTTTGAAGATCAAAGAAATTAACGTAAAACACTGAAAATCACTTGTGGTAGAATGATTTATAACTTTCCTGATCAAAATTCCTATTCTCCACAGCTGGAGTGCTTCCAATAAGCATAGCATATTTGATAGCGGTTGTAAGGAATGTCTTTCAAATTTCTTCACTTCATTACACGAGTTTCCCTGAAAACTATGCTATACTTCTGTTGTTTAATGTGAAGAGAAACGTGTTTAAACGCGGTATATGTATGTAAGAGCTATCTTAGGAAGTATCTTGCGACTCCAAAGGTGACTCTAGCAACGTCTGAGTCAACCAAGTAGGTTTACGTGGAATGGCTGTAAAGACTAATTTCCACTAGATAAAGGAGTCTAATCGGTCGTTTCAGTTAATGTTATGGTGGCAGTTAGAGTTATTGGGAAATATCTAAAAGTACAGCGGTACTATACATTTGACGAAACACATCAAATCAAGACTGCAGTCAACTCCACAGCGGTGTGGTTGAATCTGCAGCCATTGAAACCCATCACATTTGCTGGAATTTATAACTATATGGGACAGATCATCAGAGTGTGGTTTTGTGACTTTGTGAAACAGGACAATGTTTCCCGAAATGTCTCCTTAGGAATTTAGATAACTTGATCATTGTTGAAATACAATCCCAGTCGTTCATCGCAGGATGTGTGAGTGACATTGATTAGTCTGATCCACTCAAATCTCATAAAATTCAGATAAAAGCAGTAAGCTCCATCGAACTCCATTTCAGTGTTTCCTTTAGAAAAAATAGTCTTGTTGTTATAACTTTCATTAGACCACTTTACATCATATGTCTGTTTGTCACACCCACCTTGTAATCTCTTGCTCAGCAAGTAATAAGCAGCAGATTGCTCCACACTTCGGAGACAACATTGAAATGGAAGACTGAAGGAGAAAATGTGGCTTCTTGACAGGAAATATCTACACAAGGATACGTGTGACACAGTCTACGCCTGTAATAGGAACAGTTGAGAAATGATGTATGTGAAATTCCACTAAAGATGTGACACGTGATCGAACAAATATTGTCACACAGGTTAGCTGCAGTTACTGTTATGTACCAAAGGAAGCCAATCGAGGTGGTAACCAGTCTTTATGTAGAAGAAAACCCTCATTTCGATCGAACTCAAGTGATTTGGAATTCAGTCTTGATTTTCAAAATGCATTATAGTCTAAGGCTTTTTACTGATGATTGGAAGCTCCTGTTGATTTGCATGAATGACAACCAAGCCCAAGTTGATCATTCACCCTGAATAAGGACCACCTAGGATATTTTAACTTCTTCAAAACACGAAATATTGGAAGGATGGCGTTTGATATTTACCAGTGGAGAATACTTATGTGTATGCAAGCTGACAGCCCCTGTCACCTTCTAAATGCAAATCATGGAATCGTCTTTTATGTACAGAATATAAGTAATAGGATTATAAATCAGTCCTGTTGATACCTCTTTTTCATGTACCCCGAGTGCAACTTTGACAAAATTGTCTTCATAACTACTCTTGCTCACAATGACTGCTGCGACGCAAAGTGGAAGTGAAACTTGAGTCACACAAGTGATTAGTTGCATGGACTTTATATTTTATATCATTTAGTGGTCCGTGCTTATCGTTGAGAAATGCTGCTATGCTCAATACTCATTTATTGCTAATGTGCGTATATATGTAAGAATGTCATGTGAGTAGGAGACATTCGAATAGATTATGGTTTGATAATGTCTCATGTGAATTTGTGACTGGGGTAATAGGACACTGTTTTCTGCTAAAACCCAGATACGTTTATCAACTACATAGTCCACCCAAGAGTTCATATTCCTTTGTCACATGATGATGACCAGTTTTAGCAAGCACTGTAGACTATTCACATTATTGTCTCTACATTTTAGTCGCCTTTCCAATGTTTTAATGCATGCTTGTGTATAATAAACCTCGGCAACGGCACATGATGATAACATCTAGTATGCATTCTCGAGACTCCCATCTTCACCAATTGTTACCAGTAAATATACCAGGACATGTGCATTGCATTTCAAGCAAATTCATGCCAGAATATGACACAGTGTCTCCTCTGCTTTCAACTCTCCATCACTTACCAATCTATTAGTATTGTTTTCAAAAGTGACTACTTCATACGTCGCAACTTCACACTCCGAAATGCATCAATATTAGGAAACGAAACACAACACATTTCAAGTCAGAGAATTAGTATTCCTCGTCTACGTTTTGTGTGCAACACCGCTCTCAGCTTCAGGGATGAAATTGACACAGTAGGCCATGTACAACCGAAATTCACGTACCACAAGTAATCTAACTGAGCATAGAAAACTGTATGTTTTCCATTGACTGTGGTGTTGTCTCCGTCAAATCACTGACAAGGATGCGTGCATCACCTAAGACGGATTCATGTTCGTTGGATGCAGTCAGTGTTGTACTTAACAGAATGGGAGAAGTTTAATACGTTGTCTATAGTGTTGCTTTCAAAACAACAATTATGCTGTAAGCTAAGCTTAAATTTCACTAATTTTTATTGCGATTGATTCATTGTGTGACCTTCCCCTGACTGTTATACTGGACCTGATAGACCAATTTCCGTTGATGCGTAAGCTACTGTGCAGAAGCCTCGATATTGTTGAAAGATTCATTGTGATATAACTTACTTAGTGATGTGTCCTCAATTCGACTGCCCACTACCAACAAACAAACTAGAAAATAACAAATCTCCAAGCAATATTGGCGTGTTTGAATGGGAGCCGTTACACCATAGCAGACCAAACAATACCATGAAGTACAACTACGAAATATCTAAAGTGGAAATCAATGAAAGCTAATACCGTTCTCACAAGTGGTGACCGTTGTCACTCAGTAACTCAGAGGATAGTGCTCTAATGCTTGAAGCGATGGACGTTGGGTTCAAGTCTCGTTGAAGACACCATCACTCACCGTGATATAAGCATTTGCAACCACTGGTTTACAAAAAGGGTGAAGTGTGCATTTTGAATTTCATCTCAAGTAACCACTAGGAAAATTACATATTACAAGTTTTGTTTTCTATTTAAAATGACGATAAATACTAGCAAATACGTTTCCTCTACACACATTTAGTGTCAACATCAATGATTACTATCCTCCTGAATAAGTTTTACTAAGTTTCTAGGCGTCGAAGCTAAAATTGTTGGCCACAACGGAAAAGCTAAGTTTGTGGCAAATACATTCCTAAAATCAAAATATGAGTCGGTATTGCAATGCCGATTACTTTTAAATGTGTGTATCTGTCTATTCGGCAGGTGCTTCTCAGACCACAAAAACATTTCCAGATTTTGTTGAGAAGCACTGAAGTTAAATCAGTCAATAAACAGATGCATGGTGAGCTATAGGATTTGGCGTAGTCTTTAATGTGATGTGCACCACTTCAAATATACTGCTTGTTTCAACCTACTATGGCCTCCACCACAAAGGTGAGGTTATCAATGCTTAATTGACTGAACCAGAACTAAACGTTGGGAAAGGTGTTTTTAAACAACTTCTTTCAGGCAGTCAACTCATGAACTACTTTGGTCGTCATTGCTGTTTCTTTCTTCAGCTTCTCTTATAAACACACTTCTAACCTGGAAACTTTGACAGTTGTTTTCGCCATCCGAACAACCCTTTAAAATCTCTTTTCATTGGTATTTCTGTTATCAGATCTCTGCAAAGTTTAACACTAACAACCACCTATGGATTGTTGTTACGATGCTCTTGTTATAATTACTGCAGGTATGATTCCATTTCAACCATTTTACACTTCGATCGATGCAGTCCATTTCTAACATTTTTTAGTTCATCCCAGAGATTTTCTGTATTCCGTCACCGAATGCATGTCGTAGTCTTGAATTAAATACATTACTAGTTCGTAACCCAACTCTGTCATCATTTATTACGATTATTTGTCAGTAATTTGACATTCATCAACAATTATATCCAACTTATCATCCACATAAACAGACAAGTCATTCAAATACCCACAAGTTTAAGATTAATCTGATCATTACTCGGCCTTGAATTATGTCTGAATATGTATTGTTTACGAATTCAGCTCTCATGAACGATTTTGTCTGATAATAGTAGACACTCTAATTATCTCTAAGGGAGGAATGGCTGAATAATGAGCTAAATGCTGGTGTCCAACGAGAGCGATTCCATGAAGATTACGATGACCAACCCTGAAAGGATCAGCTCTTATCCTTTACATATCAGCTTTTTATGTATCTCGCAAAACATGTGAAGTATCACAGTAAGCAATATATCAGATATAGTTGGTGACTGACTAACAAACTACTCACGAATATTGACATGGTCCCTTTGGAATATGAGTAAGGTGATTGTCTTATTTCGGAAGAGATGGAAAATGTTAATTCTTGAGGATCCAGATCGTCAAGTGACTCTAGCCTCACATGCTCCTAAAAAGAGAGGTAGACTGTCCAGACAATTTCCTTTGAGGTGTTTGGTACTTGAAGCTTATTCTATACCTCGACCTTAAGACGTATGCCATTGTCGGTTGAAAATGACGCGAAATCTGTTGAGGTGTAATCACAGGGGCAGTGGGTCATTTAAACCTATCAAAGTGCCGTATTCAGTGTTCTAGGCATCAGTCGGTCTGCTTTTCATAGGCTTCAAATTTCTTAAATAAGAATTTTGTTATCTCTTGGTTTCCAATCATATTGAGGTCACTGAACTGATCGACGTCTATTCACATTGCGTTTCAGTTGAAGATGACCTAGTGAATAATACACCACTATTCTTCGAAATAGAGAATTAGAAAGCCACCGATGTGAAAAAATCTCTCAGGGGAAAGACGATTCTTCATCAATAAAAATCAAGTATATTCATAAATCAAAACTATTTGATTGAAAATGTCACTGCACAAAACATTAAGATATCCCAGTTATTTCAATCCAACGGCAATCTGGCGATAATCTTCTCAAACCATGACTGTAATAAACCTGCACGTTTGGCAGACATTGCTAGAACTTCTTCATGGTTTGCGATCACTTTACTTTCAACATCCAGTACACTTATATTTGTGACCAATGAAACGGCAAGTACTTTCATTCCACAATGACGAGCAAGTATTACTTCTGGTATGGTACTCATACCTGAAAGTGTAATGAAAAATTCGCAACAATAAATTAGTGATATGTTTCGTGCATGATGTCGATGACAAAATCAGCTCTGACAACCTTGATTAGCGCGCGACAACCTGCCTATCTTCGATGCATTATAATTTCTCCAGATCAGGAGGAAATAACATGTCAGTTTTCTGAATTGGCTATCCAAGGAAATCATAAGGGGGATAGATTGGCCACTCCAATATTACCACACGACAACGCTACTTCAAGTGTAGTATCACTGTGTTATGAACTGGATACTATGGTGTTATAAAATGAGCGTTGTTGTTTCACATCTCAGTTATCTAAGATTGATAATTAGGGCGAAAATTATGGAAAATGTCAACTAATGTATTTGCCGCTAAAGTGACATGCTAGACAAAAAAATTTCCATACAAGTCACCATGAGACTGATAAAACACTACTTTAGTTTCCTGATTGTTAACAGAACGAGATTTTGTACTGATAGTAGAGTTGAGTAAATTTAATGGTAGGCGAAATTAAAGCTTGAAATAACGCAGCAACAATGTAATGCTTATCATGCAGTAGAGTCTCCGAAATGAAGCCGTATCTTCCAACACTGTCACAATTCGAAGATTTTAATGGCAATATTATAGTATCCAGCACTATTTTTGTGATTGAAAAAGAAATGGTTGGTGGCTCGCATTCTCATGTTGAAGAGAATATCACACTCCAATATAGCCGTACGACACATCAGGAAAGACCTCTGACACACAACAAGGGTAGCAAAAGACTGTAATATGTCTGTGCTAAATGCCACATACAAACTGACTGAACAGTAGGCTACTGTTGTAATTGTTGCTATAGATTCAGCCTGAGCTGAATTTCTCCGATCACAACGCTGATGGGCTCGGCCCTAGATGAACGAAAGGGCTGCCGGGTGTTTGACCCATCTGATATGATAACTGAATTCCAATTACAAGTATAAATGGATTCCAACCATTCGCGTTCTTCCACAGTGTATTTTGAGATGGCTGGATCAAATATTAGTGCCTCTCACTACTAATCCTGATAATAAAATCGCACATTTGGAGTGACAGACTACGTTTTATTCAGTAATTTAGAAAGCTCACAAAAATCCAGTCTCTGGGTAGAAGAAATGAGACTTTTTTGTGCAAAACGAAGTAAATGACTCGGTGAAGTAGAAAAATTCATCTAAATGTCTCAGTTTATACACGTTTATAATCGTCTTGAAAAAGGATCAATTACTTCACCTAGTTATACCAAAACACTATTTAATCAGTAATTTCGGAAACACAACTCTTTCTAACACGACTGGGAGTCTCCCGGTTCCAAAGATGGGGATATTTTGATGACGAAAAAATCGTACTTATCAGTGAACAAACACAATCCGAGTGGTACATTCTATTCACAGGTAACAATGAGTCACTCACCAACAACATCGCAACCCATCATAAGCAACATCTTGCACTCAGCAGGTGTTTCATAATTAGGACCACCATTCATGCAGTAGACACCCTCGTGAACCAGGTCCTGAAAGTTCTCCTCTTTGGCGACTTGAAGGGCTAATTTCCTCAAGTTCAAATCATAGGCATCCGAGAGTGCTGGAAATCGAGGGCCAAATCTAAGGAGTTGAAAATACAGTCAAACAAATTTGTAACTTACGCTTCATCATTCGGACCAACCAGGACGTTGTTCAGTGACAGTCCAGCAAAGTAAAGATGGTCTTTCAAGATGACGAAATCACCACTTTTTAGATCTCTGTTCAAACCGCCAACAGCATTGCTAATCAACAGAGTTTTGACACCCAACAGTTTCATAACGCGTATCGGGATAGCTATCTGTCATGTGGAAATGATAACTTCACAGATTTGCTACCTCATGTCTGCTGTATCCTTCATACATATGAAATCGTCCTTGCAACACAACCACCTTACGACCACTTAGAGTTCCGAATATCAGGTTTCCAGAATGTCCCGCAACTAGAATTTTACGCAAGAACATAAAGATACTTACCAGTCGTTCTTGGAAAGCCAGGTATGTCCGTATATGGGATTATCTTCGGGTTGCTTATTCCATCGGCAAGCTGTCCCAAACCACTTCCACAAATGACCCCTATCTCTGGTTCAATACTAACCAACGCTCGTATATAATCTGCTACCTTGGACACATTTTCATAACTTGCAGGTGAAGAAGACGACCTAGGGTTTTGTTGAGACTACGTGCATGGAACTTACATTTCCAAACTCCAGTGTCAATGTGTAAAGAGCGCTAAAGAGAAAAGTGTACTCGGTAATTTTAAAGCAGTCTGTACGGCCATGAAAGTTAACTCGACGTCGTAAACTTTCGACGAACACAAATGCTCTCAGTGAAAATTTCTCTTACATTCAGTCTTACTGCTTTTCAAAAAATCTATGTGAATCCGTATTCCTTTATCTAACATGTCAATGGAGTGCGAAATCATTCCACTTGAAATTTAGAAATGAAGAGCATTATTTAGCTTGGCCATTAATTTCCATGAAATCTTAGGTAATTTTATCTACGATGTGACTCTTCTGGTGGGCAGTTGAGCCGAATCACAAATAATTTCAAGGTACCAGTGACATCTGAGAAGCCAGAGACTTCAGGTATCGCTTAGATACCGCAGATAGAAGTCCTAAACTACTACAGACGCTTCTTAAGATATTCGGAAAGCTTCACAAGGATTAAGTGGGTTTTTGAATTTTCATGCACGGTGAGGATTTCATTTGAAACATTTGAATTTTCAGAAGGTGATGCTAGAAGGTTCAGAGTGAATCGAATGTTTGATTAGAGGAAATTCCAAAATGCACCTTAAGTATTCGCCACGGTGGCTGGTAAGCTCGCTAGGAAGTGGCAAGAATTCAGTGAACGATTTGAAAATGAATTCACTAGCCAAATCACTACAGCAGCTGCACTTAGAGTGCTTTCGATTTTCTCAAATAAAATATGCAAGGAGAACCCACCTTTAGACCGTTAACGCGGAAAGTGGTCTTTGTCTCAAAAGAGCGCTATCTAAAAACGACCGACCTTCATTATCCACTATCCAATCTCTTTTTGCGAACTAGTATAAACCAATTGGTTTCTCACACTCTCTTTTAGGTCCTGAGGAACGTTTCTAGGTCTCTGTTGGATTCCGATGGAGTATGTTAACCCATTCAACTGTTGTAGCTCTGGTCACCCCGACGGACGTTTGGGTGTTGGTAAATTTGTAGGGAGTATGTTTTAATTTTTCTCCCAAGGACTGTGTTGCAGATAGGTTCCTTGAGTGAACATGGCAGCAGACAATTAGTGGGGTTGGTTGCAAGAAGCAGATGGAAAATGTGTTTAGAGAAATAAGTGAGAGAAAGTGCATAGAAAATAAACAATGGATAAAAAGACGATTAGGAAAAGGTTGAGGTACGAAGGAAGAAACATCGGCAGATTCGTGGTGAAGGACGTTAGAGAAGGCTTTTACTTGGGTGGGATAACGTAAAGTCGGGAGGAATAAAAGAGTAATTAATGCTACAGGACGGCATATGGGAATGGAGATAGGGATTAAATTATTAGGAGACAGTAACTGGCATGGATGTCTGTGGGGAAGTATAAGGTTGATCCGAGCTCGCGGTGGTAATGGTGGTAAAAATTATTTGATAATGGGTTGCCCGTACTTGGTCAATAGGTCGTATCAATCTAGACCATATCTCAGCTGGATGAGCACAGACGGTGTGTTGCTGCATAACTGTCCGACCTCTTCCTGAAGCTGTCAATAGATGCAGCATTAGCATTCTCGGCAGGCGGTGTGTTTCAGTGGCGGCAAACTCACGCACATGGGTTTTCGTATTTTGGTAGGCGGCTTTCCCTATTTTAGCACGGGGTTCACCAAAGTGGCCATTCGGTAGGAATCGAGTTTTCGGACGACTTGGGTTTCTGGTATTTTGTAAGTCGTCATCAAGTCACCGCGTAACCAACAGTAGCTTCGAAAGTAGAGTAATGGGTTTTTCAGCTTGTCCTCATGAGATTTTCCCTCCTTGAAAAAAGTTCCGACGTCAGGGCACCTAGTTATCTGTACATGAAGTGCATTACTGCGAAGGCTCTCAAGGCACCTCCTGGATATTTAGAGCTATTGTCTAGTTTGCCAGTGAGCATTAGTCCCAGGTCGTTCTTCGCGATAGTGGTGGTGTGGTAAAGTTGTATTTCACAGAGAGAGTAGGATACTTTCCGAGAGTCAGGGGTGCCGAAAAACATGATTCGGCACTCATCCAGATTAAATGCTATTCCGTTATTATCCACCCACTCTGCGAACAACCCGAGATCCCTTTGTAGTGTGCTTTGATTCTGCTCCGGATGCCACAGCTCTCCATAACTTAACATCATCAGCATAAAGTAGAATTGGGGAGTTGAAACTCAATGGAAGGTCATTCACAAAATGAAGGAATAGCAGCGGATTCAGAATCGCTGCTTGTGATACACCAGATTATGATTTCCCCTGGGTCGAGCAAACTCTGTTGGCATTTGTGCAGAATTCTCTGCTGTTTAAATAGTCCTGTAGCCAGGAGAGCACTTGACCCTTAATACCGAACCTTGAGATTTTGTGAATGAGAATGGTGTGTGGCACTGTATCAGAGGTCCCAGCAAAATGCAGGAAAACAACATGGACAGGAATTTGGAGGTCTCAGCATGTCGTCCACTTATCACAGGCTGCCAGGATGTTTGGGGTGCAGGATCTACCCTTACTGAAACCATGTTGGACATCACTTAGTGTTCAACTCTTGCCCAGGTATTTCCTGACATGCTCGTCGACTAGGCTCTCCATTACTATTGACACCACTGGTAGAGGCGTCACCTGATACCATGGTGCTTTCAATAGACGTTGGTTCATCGTCACGTGGTTCGCCCTGCTGTAGCAAAGAAAAGGGCGAAATCCCTCCCGCAGCACTTGTTCGTTGGATACCAGATCAAATACCACCACGTTGTAATAGCTGCTGCCAAGGAGGGGTTGAACTTGAACGCCTTCAGCGGGCAGGCGGCCACTGGTAAAAAAGTAGTCTAATTTGGACGGTCTTCCGCCCGACCCTCATCGAGTGCCATCGCTAAAATTCTCGTCCAGTCCGGCCTTTCGGATGTTGCTGAGTAGGTTTTGGTGAAACCTTCGGCTTGGGACTCCCCTTTCCTGCCCATGGTTAAGAGCTGGGGCGGTAAAGTCTCCGGCTATGATGGCCTGGCCATGTCCCAGTGACGTAGCTCCAGACACTACTTGCGACAGTTGTCGGTTATGTTAAACGTTGCTAGTAGTTCTGTAGGAGCCCCGTACCAGGTGTATCCAACCTTAAAGTGATACTAGAAGGAGTCTGGTAGCCCTGAATGTAGTTTCAGTTGCTGGTTCCCTTTGAAGGTAGTCACCTATAAACGCTGCCACCCCACCTTCTTCCTTAAGCACCCCGTCTCCCCTGAATAGACGCACACCGTCGACACTAGTTTCGATATCACTAATATCCGGTGATAACCACGCTCCTGTTAGGATCGTGATCTTTGGAGCAAGGCGGAAGCAGGGTGGTCGAGATTCTCCCATCTTACTTCTAAGTCCCCTCACGCCACTGTAGAGACACTTGGATATGTTTCTAACGACAGAGGGTATCTTGGTGGTGGCAGACCGGAGGGGATCGCGCACAACACGAAACTTGCTACAGGATGGCCAGCTCCAGTGGAACCGGCCCAATCACGTTTCTTCCCGAAGTGGTTTCTGGGGATTTGGTAGAGTCTAGGCTAGTTTGGATATCTTATCTGTTGACAGTGATGGTGACATTCACACTGGGTGGGGCGGACGCTCGCTGTTGTCACAGTGTCCTGGGCCTGCTTTCACAGCAGCAAACGTTCCCACTGATGTTGTCCTTAACTGTGCACCAAGTTTGCAGTACTTTGGTCAAAAGTTCTTGACAGCCGAAGTCAATGGTCATCAATCTGGATGATGTCATCGTCGTCAAATGTGAGGGATGTGGCAGTCTGCGGGCCGCCACCGCCGCCAGCCCACTTGACTCTATCCTCGCTGATGACCACTGCCATTATTGGATATCGTGAGCATACTTCTCTGCTGATGCACCAGCTGTTCGCTCCGGTACCCCGCGGAAAGCCATGGTCGTTGGCTTCAGTGTGTGGGGTGCCTCGCGAGATACTTTTCTCTTTGACTGTGGCCAGCCTGGACTGGCCCTAATGTTGGATGGCCGATTGTTCGCCATTACGTGAGACAGCAACAAGAATCTTTCATCCGAGTTCAGAGTCACTCCCATCAGCGGAAGCTTCTCCTGAGTTGAGTAGTTGCCTTTCTAGAGCCGGCACAGTTTTGCTTCTAAGATGCCCACCCCTAGTATGGTGCATACCGTTTGCCATTGATGTTCATCAAAAGACCCTCTGCTGTCAAAACGGCTATCATGGTACACAAGGACGTTAAACAGGATGGTGGAATTCGATCTGTCATCAACTTCTGTTGTTGCATACTGTGGTTGGGTTTTTATGGGGAGAGTGCAACTTCTTTTACACTGTCAACCATTTTTCCCGTTGCACACTGGAGGCTTCAGGGTTAGAGACTAATGTGGTTAGTTGCGTGCCTTGTCGTCGCTTGGGCCTTTTTGGAATATTTACAAGTGTGACTGTTAGGGGGACGGTGCTGGCACTCCTAGTGCTTAAGCCTAGGGCAGTGGTCTGTGCGGGTGCCAGGATCAAAGCAGTGACTTCGGTGTCTTTTGCGACCCCACTAAGCTAGCTTGTGGAAAAGATTGGCTTTACACGGCATTGTGGTCAGAGGTACCACAACTACGTGCGTAAGCAGCTCTCCATGAGGGCGTAATATTGGTCCAGTATGCGTCAGTCACTCTATGAACCTATTTATTGCGGATGTTACGCTCAGAGGCAGCACCCCCTTGGCTACGGTGGGATCACACGTATGGCAGTCGTCAGTCTGACCAGAAGGCCTATTCAAAAACTTTCTTTTCCCTCCCTTCCGTCTCTCAGTGGTAGCCCTCACCGGTAGGCCACGATTTGGGCCGGCGGTTCCGGGGAGAAATGCTCTCTGGTGAACTAAATCACAAGGTTTTAGTGGGACAGGAATTCGACTTTTCCCAGCGGGTGATTGTCGCAGTTATCCTCTTGATATTAATCCATGATCTTTCGCTGAGGTATCAAGCCCCTTGTCTCCGGCCCTAGTTGCTGCCACCGCATCGTTTCTGCCGTGAGTTGGTAGCCTGCGTTACATTTACACGTCATCCGCCAAACTAAAATGTCAACGTTACGAATCGTTTGACTTTGTGCTTTTGAGCACCAAAAGTGCCTAACTGCCTAACAAAACACTTTTAATTTGTGATACCGAGTCACCAGCCCCCTTTGGATTAATTATTAGATATTGTCCCTAGCATCCAATTGTCTGTGTAATAAACTGGGTGACTGCGGTCCTTTAGCCATCTCCTGTCGGTTACCGTATTGAAGTAACATTTCCCTGGTGAAGTATCTACTTCAGAGTATCCATACGCTATTATAATATTGGGACGCAGTAAGGCCAAAAGATCCTGGACGAATAGCTTGGAAAAAAAATGAATGCTCCACAGATCTCGGAACACAGTCTAGTAACTTCCCGGATAGGTCACAAACTCCTTTTGTGGACATAACTGACATCGTCAGCGATCGTAATAACTTAGCAACTTTTAGTGCGGTTAAAATTATTAGGCTTAACACAATGTTAACTGAAGTCCGCAATTCATCCGAGCAGCTGGCACCCATTACTAATCTTTTTGCCTTACACACAGATATAGACACTTAGAAAGTATGGAAAGCTGAGAGTCTAATCGACCTCTGGCCGAGAAGTGGTACAACGAGTCGCATCACCAAGAAAGGGGCATTTAAAGATTCGAAAGACCGTTTCACAACTTGTACGTCCTATCTTATTCCAGTTAACACCATCCCTCTATTGAGGGCAAGAGTGGTAATTTCAAAAATGTGTTCAGGCATATTAAGATAGCTCGAGGTCAAACCTAACTTCAGATGAATCTGCAAAATGCCAGGTGGTACTCAACAACAATGTACCCACCGCGGAAACAGTAATTGTTGCACCTAAAGATAATGTTATTGTCCAGCATTGGCTTGGTGAAATACCTGACTCTAAAAGCCTTACGCCGCATACTACGGGCGTAAAAAGTAGGTAAGGCGATGGCATCTGACCGGTGCAGTTGGGTAGGTAAA